TGTATTTATGTATGTTTGTATGTACGAATGTTTGCCATTGTAAACCAAATTGCTCTTCTGGGATCAATAAAAATGTAATTTATTTGATTATTTTTAAACATACTGTCAACCATTATGTACAGTGGAGACAGCATAAACTGAAATCTGGGGCACCGCCGGATTTTCTCCAAAATACGTGGGACTTTCGCTTTACATAGGTAGGTTCAAATAGAAGAAAAAAAATCAGGTTTTTTTTTCATCTTACTGCTATTTTCAGTTTAACCACGTTCGGTTTAAGCGGACTCCACTATGACACTAGGATACAGTCAAGAATTGGACATGGGTAGAGAGTTTTGCAACACAGTTGGGTCATATAAATGCAGCAGATTAGAGGTATTACAAGAGAGGGGCAAACACAAAAAAGAAAGAGGAGAGATAAGGACGACAGACGTTTGAGAGGAAAGAAGGGGAGATAAGGACGACAGACGTTTGATAGGAAAGAAGGGGAGATAAGGACGACAGATGTTTGATAGGAAAGAAGGGGCAAACAACACCAGAGCATCCGCCAACCAGGGTGACTTTAAATGTTCTGATTTTTAAACAAGTTGCATGCTATAGGTGGTGGGTTGTTGGCGGGTGCTCTGGTGTGGTCTGCTTCTTTTTTCCTATCAAACATCTATCGTCCTAATCTCCCCTTCTTTTTTATGTTTGCTACTCTTTTGTAACACCTCTAATCCTCTGGCGCTCATATGACCTTATGCAGTAGCGAGCTCCGTAAAACCTCTAATAAAGCTAAACTAAAGTTATAGGTGGTGATATGCAAGGCTTTGACACCAAATCCATTAGAGACAAGAGTTAAATACACAACGTAAACTCCCTGAAGCAAGCGTAGAGAAAAAGATGAATCAATAATAGAAAGCTAGGCCAAAACTATAGCCCCAGAACCTGAACCAATTCTTTTGAAGCAATATATTGTGCTGGTCTTTTCCCGTCTCTCTCTCTCTCTCTCTCTCTCTCTCTCTCATCTGCTCTCTCTCTCTCTCTTTCTCTCTCTCTCTCTCTCTCTC